TATATTAGACGATTTTACAGGCAATGAAGTTGGTGGCAACACACTTTTGATTCAACTAATCGCCTCTTAAATCGGCCCATGTAAAAACCGTATTGAAAACCCAGTTCCACTAAGTCTGCCAGCAGCCCATGCTTATCTACGTAGTCGATGGGCACTATGTTAAGCATGGCGTTAATAAGAAAGGTTATATCAAAAGTCTCAATAATTCTAATGAGGGCGGCTCGTTGCACTCAATCAAGCTTTTTGGCTAGCCTAGTCTTCTCTCGAGCTTTCTATTAGATAAAGCCTTCATTATGGTTTCATAAAGCCTGGAGCATACCATTTGAGACAAGCCTAATTTCTTACCAGTGGCCTCCCTGCAGCAATAGATAGCCACATATATACATACATATGTATGCCTTCGTGACTATTTCCAGAGGGCAGAAAAGGTATGTATATTTATATGTAGATATAAGCCTGATAAAAATATCACAATGTAAAATCATTCTCTCATTTCGTTGGTCAAGATTTTTTTGACGTTTGCAATCATTTTACAATCATATAAAATTGAAAATAAAAAATGAAACTGTTCACAATTGTTGTTATTTTAGAATAAAAATGAGATTGCCTGTGTGAGTTTCATTTTAAAATAATATTGCTGGCAAACATCAGACTGCCTGACAATGGTTTTACCTTGTAATGTTTTTATCATATGTACATGTATGTGTATAAAGGAAGATAAAAAGATAGCTCGGTAACAATGATCTTTTTAATTCTTAATGACTGATTTAGACTTACCGGTAAACCCATTGGTCCCTGGTCACCTTTTTGGCCTTTCTCTCCCTGAAAGTGTTACAATATTTATGTCAAAAATATATGTATATCACTAATCAGTTAAATTGTCTCTTCAGTTTGATAAACTTACCGTATCACCTTTGCGACCATCCATGCCGCGCTCTCCATGCTTGCCTGGTTGACCAGGAGGACCCATTGGACCGGGTGGTCCTGGTGGACCATAAAGCTAATTAAAAGTAAAGAACAAAAATATATTTTACATATTTCTGCATGTGTCTAAGGCTTTAAATAAATATACATATGTAAATATGTACTAAAGAAACTTACATATTCAATGGTGGGCATATGGGGCTGATCTGACATTCCATCATCTTGTCGCCGACGCATTTTTCTATACTTCTAGTTTAAATTATGAGATCAGAATGTTTTCAATGAAATCCAAAATCAGTAATGTATACTCACTGAATCACCGCGATCGCCTTTGTCACCCTTCACACCCGGATAACCAGGTGGACCCGGCAGTCCAGGTGGACCCATTAGACCGGGTGGTCCAATATCGCCTCGATCACCTTTCTCACCAGGGGGACCTTGGTAACCAGGTAGGCCAGGTGGCCCCTCAATGCCTGGCTCACCAGGTAGCCCATCCAAACCACGTGGACCCAACGAACCTGGCTCTCCGGGTTCGCCCGCATCGCCTTTAGCACCGTCACGTCCGTCGCGACCATCCTTACCGGGCATGCCGGGCGGACCGGGTGGACCGCGCAACAGTTGTACTGGTGGATCATCGTAGTCTTCATCCTTAGCGCCACCA